AGAGTTACTCCGCTGCTCTTTTACTTTCTGTTCAAAATAAAATATAACACAACACTCAGATATTATCACTGTGCCTGAGTGGTTTTAGCCCTCTACCTGCAAGATGGCTCTGGGCAGATCTAGATACCCTGCTTTTTTTTTTTTTTTTTTTTTTGAGATTAGACACAGAAAGGGGTTGAAGATTGCATTTTCTAAAGTTGCCTGCAACAGTATCTGCCATCCACGTAGTCTTCTTCCGGTGGAACCTTGACACCCCTTCCCTTGAGGAGGAGGGTCTACATCTCCCCCGCATGCAAACCTGGAAAGACTTTTGTGATTGCCTCAGCCAAAAGAGAATGGTAGAACTGTTGCTGTAGGACTTCAGAGGCCAGACAATAAGACTGTCATGCACTTCCTCCTGGCTTTCATGGCACGCTCACTCTTGGAACCCAGCTGCTGTCTTGTGAGGAAGCCTATATCGTTGTGTGCGGAAACCACATGGAGAGGCCAAGGAAGGTGTCCCAGCTGACAGCCGCATCATCTGCCAGGCACGAGCCAAGATGCCTCCAGATGCTTCTAGGCCCCACCTGTCAGGTCACTCTCAACTTTGCATCTTCCCAGCAGAGGTCCCCAAAATCATGGAGCAGAGACAACTCTCCCTGCTTTGCCCTGCCCAAGTTCTGCACCTCAGGACCTGTGAGTATCATAAAGTGGATGTTTTACATCACTGGGTTTTGGGGTTGTGTGTTACGCTGCTGTGGTAACTGGAATAGAAGGTATTGGCTTACGCTCAGGTGTCTATCTCAAGGGGGATAGTCTTGTGGCCTTTACTGCACCCTCTCTTGGAGCAGATGTGATTGGTAGGGATGGCGCCCCATCAGCCCCATGACTTCATTGGAGGCAGATTGGGTGGACAAACCCTTCCTTGTTCTTTAGTTACAATAAATTAATATATTTTACTTGCTTCCTTGTTTATTACTTCCCATTGGCTAGAATGTTGTTGCCCTGTGGACGGGATATTTTTCCTGTTGTGTTTGTTACTGTATTCTCAGAGTCCAGACTAACACTTGGTACTTTGTAGTTGTGCAATAAGTAATTATTGAATGAATGAGTTAATGAAGATGAAACTTCAAGTGGGCACAATTTTTGGTAATGATTCCTCAGGAGAATTCTGTTAACTTTCCACAGGCCAGTTGTTATGGTAATGTAACATTAATTTCTGGGTAATGTCTAGCTCACACTGTGGTGGGAGTTTCTTAAGAATCATCGTAGACAATCAGATAGAGAAGAGATGAGAAGAGAGAATAGTTAACGGAATTAAGAGTTAATAGTTAAGAATAGGTAAGAGTCCCAACATTTTCTCTAAATTAAAAAAATCGTTAAATGTATATGAATGGTGGGGGGCTTTGGGTGTAAACTAAAGAGTTTGTTCAAGATGTTTCTGGACTTTCTCTAAAGGAATGTAGAATCAGTCAACAAATAAGAATCGATTCAAGCAAACTTTGTTGCCTGGCATGTTCTGGGTGTCATGGGGTCCACAAACAAGCGTAAGGTGGGGACACTGTCCTCGAGACAGCGTTGAGTCCAGCTGAAGCCTGTGAGGCAGCCAACCCAGGTAGGCAAGTGAGGCCCAGGGGTAAAACTGATCGGGTTTCAGCAGCTGAGGTTCCTGAGGATGATGGAATATCAAAGAGGACTTCTTGGAGGAGGAAGGTCCAGGCAGGCAGGCAGCTTCCCCAGGCACTGACTTAGTGGAACACTGAAACCCCATAGAGATTTATCAGAAATCTGCCTGTTAACTCGGGTTTCCACCTGTAGATTCTCACAGAGCTGGTGGAAAGGAAATTCGTGTCCTTTTGTCAAAATACTCTTAAACAGGTAAGTAAGTACTTACATAGGTAATACCCTTAAATAGAAAGAAAACCTTCTCCTCCCTAGCATGGGCACATGTCCTGGAGGGTAGGGGCTAGGGGGTAATCTTGTGATGTACATTGCAAGTTGCTGCGTCCACTGGCCCGTCTGGGGGGGGGCCCTGGAGTGGGCATTGCCGGTCATTCCAGATTCTGAAACCAGCTAATGCACAACAAAGGGCTGTTTACCAAGATCGTAGCTGCAGGCCTTTAAATGTCTCCTAAACAGAAAGAACCTACAGAGAGAACAACAATACAGAGAGACTTGTCTGCTCCGCCAGCAAGTCACTCTGCTGCTGGCGACGGAGGGATGTGCGCTGGTTCTCTATTACATGCCCGAGAGGAGAACCAGGAGAGGAGAGACCATTCCAAAGAAACTAGAGTTCTGTTTGCTGCATGAAATACGACTCCATTTTAATTTGTGGGGAAACAGTTTTCTTCCCATCCTAAGTTGACATTAAACAAATACTGGAAGATGATTAATTTGAAGCTTGTCCAGTGTTTCTGGTCCGCACTGCAGACGGGACGGTCTCTGCCAGGTCACATTGTCCTGTTGGTAAGCCTAAGAAAACATGGCGGATAACTTCGGAAGCTCCCAGAGGCCATGATTGGTGCTGTGGTCAGGGTGAGCACACCTGGAGGAGTGACTGTCAGTGCATGTCCTGGAAGAGCCCAGGAAGGCACCAGCTTGGTGTCTCTGTCCTATGGTCTTCCTGGCTGTTCCTTCTTTGACCAGTTCTGTTCCATTCTTCAAAAAAGTATCTTTCTAAGTGCAGCCTTGAGCAGTGCTGATCCACTGGAACCAGCAATCTCAGTGGCCGCCCAAGCTCGGTACTTGATGCCACACCACCTCCTGGTGGCCTCTCATCATATGTTTCCAGGGCTTTCCGAATGTCAAGAACAACTTTCCCAGGGGCTACTGTGAACTGATAACTTATCACCCAAATGGGAGCCTTTATCTAGGTGGGACACCAGGAAGACAGATGTAAGCTAGATCTGTCCCAAGGACACGTGGTCCCTGTACCTTGGCACCTCCCAGGTACTGGGGTGTGCATTGTGCCACCTGCTGTCACGTGATGAAGGTGGGCACCAGGGAGCGATGCTCTTCTGAATGTCTATCAACAGATCAACGGTTCTTTCTCTGCCAGGGTGAGGCATCTGGTTCATGCCAGTTCGCCACCAGTCTTGGATCCTTTGGAATCAGAGATACACTGAGTGTTCGTGTAGCTGGCTGCGGAGTCCGATGGTCTCAGCTCTGTGCTCCCAGGCTGTGTGACTGGCGAGCAGTGACTTTACCTCCCCAAGCCTTAGTTTCTTCTAGTGTGAAATGGGGTGCCAATTGTGTGTCACATGTTGGGAGGAGGGACTGAAATGCATGGGTAGAGATTTGGGATGGAGCCTGGTGCCCCTGTCATTGCTGGGGCAGGATGCTGCTAACCTTATGGATGACATCACTGGGTCCATCAGAATCCCTGACATCAGACACACACCCTTTTCCTCACACTGTTTTCAGGTGCAAACCAGGCAAGCCGAACAAACGTGGGCTCTGTTTTATGGAAGGATTTGGGGAGTGAATATTTAGGGCAAGAGCTAGCCTCCACCTCTCCCATGTTATCCTCTGATTTGACTACCTGATCTCCTGTGAGCCCTCAGCATGTGTTTCTCTCCTGAAGGACCCCCGTTTTCCTTTGCCTGGGGGGCTTCTAGTCCTTCCCCAGATGCCAGCTTCAATGTCACTTCCTCTGTGCTCCTGTTCCATGCTGGAATCCCCCGAGCGCCAGGAATGGCTGAGCTCCTGGTGGTCTCAGCTAGATGCCGAGCTCTGTTGGGGGAGACCACCCTGCCTGGTCCTCCCCTGAGGTCTCCCCAAGCACCTGTATGGGAGTCTGGCACAGAGGGGGTGCTCATATATTTTGTCCATGAGAATTTGCTCCACGAGGATTCTTCTCAAGGAAATCTGTCGGAGAACACAGATTTTACCTCCCAAGACTTCTACTGGCTTCTTCTGAGGAGAGTGGGTTATAGCACCATAGGAAGGGGGATGCCTTGGCCTGGGGTAAGTGGGTATTGTGATGATTAATGTTCTGTGTCAACTTAGCTGAGCCACAGTGTCCAGATATTTGGTCACTTTTCTGGATGTTTCTTTGGAGGTGTTTTGGGGGAAGAGATTAACATTTAATCAATGGATTGCCCTCCATAATGTGGGTGGGCCTCATCCAATCAGTTGAACACCTGAACAGAACATAGACTGACTCTCTTCCAGAGAGAGGGCAATCTGCTGGCAGATTGGACTGGAACTGCAACTCCTCCTGAGTCTCCAGCCCGCTGGCTCTATCTTATCAGATTTTAGACTCACCAAGCTTCCAAATCAGGAAAGATGTTGAAGAACTCTCAGGAGGGAATTCCTCTCTCCTTTTCCACCCACCATCCATCTGAAACGCTTTCCTTCCTTGGGAGGTACCATGAAACAATTATGCTTTTTTTTTTTTATAAGTGTATTTATAGTCAGGGCTTGCTACCTATATGCTTGTCTTCACTGCTGGTGTCCTTGGGTGGGGATGGATGGAATGTATTGTACATTTCCCACTCGTGTTTACAAAAATATTTTTATTTAATGGCTTTTCATTTAGCAGCAGGGGCTTGAGAAACAAAATCAGGTCGTTAAGTGAGGAATGGGCAGATAATCGTGCCTGCTTGTCTATCTGCATGTGGACACGATATGCCCAGGGTCCCCAGACACACACACACGGACAAGACAAGCAACTTTAGTCACTACATCCAGACAGATATGACCCCAGATGAATGTCAACCTTTTATTGATAACAAAGCAGCAATGTTGGGGGATGTTTCCAAGGCCTCAAGGGCAGGCCTGTCTCCATGCTTGTGTGTTTGTGTGTGTGTGTGTGTGTGTGTGTGTGTGTGTGTGTGTGTGTGTGTCTAGTGATCTGTGAAGCTGGGAGGTCCAACCCCGCAGAGGCAGGAATACAGAGACAGCAGAGCCTCGGAGAGGCCGGGTGCTGGAGAAGAGTCCTCACAGGCTATGCTGAGCTCCGCTCCCAGGAACAGCAGGTGCCCTGGGGCTCAGGCAGTGGCTGGGGGCTGCTGCACCTGCTATGCTGGGCTTTCAGGAGGGACTGCTATAGCCACGGGCACGTCCTCAGCTGGGTCCAGGTGCTGGAGTCGGGAGAGCAAGTAAGAGCCAGGCTACTTGCCTTCAGTTCACCCTGAAGCCCCTGCGATCCCATGATCCTTTCAGATCCTTCCGAGCCTGCTCCCCTTTGACCCAGGCCTCCCCCTTGGCAGGGCCAGGCAAATGGGCTTTGCGCTGAGTTCTGCTTATAGCTGTGGCATCCCCTGGAAAGAAGGTTGCCCAGCAGCCATGTCTGGATTCCAGAGCTGGCTGTGACCTCAGACTCACAGCCTCACTCTCAACTGAGGCACGGGCATCATAATCCCTTTCCTGCCCCCGGAGGCCGGTCATGAGGGCCGGGGGCATGAGCGGTTGTAGGCATCCGCTACAGCAGAGACTCAGCTTCCCAGAGGCATCACCCTGGAGGAATCCCCAGAGCAGCATCCCCAGCTTAGATCCAGAGGGGCTTGCCCTGGCCCCTGCATAGAGCCCCCCCCACCCAGTGTAGACCAGTAGGACTCACCCTGGCCTTGCACAGAGGCCCCCCAGTGTAGATCCAGAGGGGCTCACCTGGCCTTGCACAGAACCCCCCAGTATAGACCATTGGGGCTCAACCTGGCCATTGCACAGAGCCCCCCAGTGTAGATCCAGAGGGACTCGCTCTGGCCTTGCACAGAGCCCCAGTGTAGATCCAGAGGGACTCGCCCTGGCCCCTGCACAGGAGCCCCCCTCTCAGTGTAGACCAGTGGGGCTCACTACAGCCACTGCACAGAAGCCCCCCAGTATGAGTCAGTGGGGCTCACCCCAGCCACAGCACACTGGGTACAGGGGAGAGGTGTCTGTCCCCTCCCCCCACCCCAATGCTCATGTTGTCGCTCCTTTTGCTTACCCCATCCAGGCTCTGGGGACAGGGTGAAGGTGCTCCTGTCCTGTCCCGCCGAGATCTCACTGGCCACGTGTAGCGGAAGGTGGCTCGGAGGCCCAGGAGGGTGGTCAAGGAAGTGATGCCCAGCTCCAGGATGGAGGAGAGAAGCAGCAGGACCAGGAGACTCTTCTGGGGCACCTGGGGAACCAGCAGCAGGAGGGCCCTCAGTCTGCACCCCTGGGAGTCAGACCAGGAAAGCACGCACTAGGCACTGGGCTGAAGACTGGTATGGGGATGGGTAAAGGAAGAGAAGCTTCCAAGGAGGGGGCAGTCATCAGCCATCGACTGAGCACCTGCTATGTGTTCATTTAAACCCCAATCACTTTCTTAGGTAGATGCTATTTTTAGCCCCATTTCACAGAGGATGAAAGAGGGGTTCAGAAAAACAGAGCCACACGCTTGTTAGGAAGAGCATCAGGTACTGTATGTAAGTGATGAATCTCTGAATTCTACTCCTGAAACCAATATTATAGTATATGTTAACCAACTAGAATTTAAACATGAATTTGAAAGAAAAAAAATAAAGTGATTAAAAAGTCAAAAAAAAAAAAAAAAGGAAGGAAAGAAAAGAAAGAAGAAAGGGGTGCCTGGTGGCTCAGTCTTTGGGCATCTGCCTTCGGCTCAGGTCATGATCCCAAGGGTGCTGGGATCGAGCCCTGCATCGGGCTCCCTGCTCCGCGGGGAAGCCTGCTTCTCCCTCTCCCACTGCCCCTGCTTGTGTTCCCTCTCTCACTGTGTCTCTCTCTGTCAAATAAATAGATAAAATCTTAAAAAAAAAAAAAAAAAGAAAAAGAAAGAAAGAGAAAAACAAAGCCACCCAGCTGGTAAGTTAAAGCTGTCCAGTTCCAAATCCCACGTGATCAGCCACTCAGACTTCCCACAGCAAAAAGGGTAGTGTCCCCAGTGTATTTGGCATTAGATCCCTGGTGACCTCCATACCGGAGCTGGGGAGCGGATGGGAGGTGAGGCGGTGTAGACAGTGAGAGATTCTTGGCTGTGGAAGGGGAGAGAGGGAGGAGCACAGTTAGAGCTGTGGGGTCTCAGAACTTAGGAAGACAGGAAGGACGGAGGAGAGAGGGAAGGCGGATGCAGTACACAAGGGTCTGGGGCAGGGGGTAGGAGGAATAATTTGTACTTTCCTGGCAAGGAAAGCGTGGATGGGGCCATGTGAAGATTCCGGTACACTTGAGGTCACAGGCGGGATGGGGAGTCTTGGGACTGCGGGGGAAGGTCTGGGGTTATGGGCAGTAGGGTCAGGACAGGGCAGCAGCGGAGGGTGTGTTTCTGCCTCCCGCACCCACGTGGTATGTTGGACCCCACTGTGAAGAGTGGCCTGGTCCTGCCTGGTCCTTTCCTAGGACATAAGCAGACAGGACTGCAACCAGTGTTCCTACCCTCTATTCTTGCCACATGGGGGGCCATGGTGGTGACCGCACGATGTATCTGTGGGTCAACCTGCTGATCTGCCCTGGACCCCAATCAGGAGAAGGCGACACACACTGGTGAAGCCCAGTTACCTGGGTAAAGCCCGGAGCGGACAGATCTGGGTCAAGTTCTGCCTCCCGCATTCTGTAGGTATGTGACCTTCAGCTAATGGATAAAGCATTCAATCTCGTTCCCCAGTTCCGGCTTTGGTAACCAGGAGCTCTGGGGAGTGGTTTCCAGGATTCCACGGTGCACAAAAGGGCAGGTGCCCGTTCTCTGGTCCCTCTACTGGCCCTGCCTGTTGGGGCAGAGGCACTCACCTGGGCGTACCTGCTGCCGGCAGTCAGCTCCACCACGAAGGCGCATATCCCGAGGCTGGAGCACAGCAAGCTGACCACGTTCATCCCTGTGCTGACCTTCATCTGCCCAGGAGATCAGAGCGTCGGTCACCACCTGGCCGGCAGGGGAGGGTGCTGGCCTCACGTGCCACATAGCACAGGCTTCCTTCATGGGCTTTTGCTCTGGGGACAACTGTTGACCTGCCCTGGGGGGACTAGGAGCTGATTACTAGAGGTAAGAAAGACATTTCTGCTCTGACTGTGGAACCCCATGGGCCACAGATACCAAGAGCCACTGCTGGCCCTAGAGGACCGCTCGGTGCCCACGGCCCACATATGGCCCCTCTTTCCTATGAATGTGATGGGGATCTATTTGGAAATACGGTCTCTGCCAATGTAATCAGGTTAAAATGAGGTCATACTTGATGAGGGTGAGTCCTTAATCCAGTACGACTGGTGTCCTTATGGGAAAGGAGGAGACACCAGGGAATGCCCCCTGATGAAGGAGGCAAAGGGGAAGTGCTGTGTCAAGCCAGGGGATGACAGGAAGTGCCAGCCCCCACCGGGAACTCAGGAGAGGCAAGGAAGGATTCTCCCCCAGAGCCTCAGAGAGCACGTGAGCCTGCCACCACCTTGATTTGGGGTGTCTGGCCTCCGGATTTGGCAGGCTATGAATTTCTGTTGTGTTTCAAGCCCCCCAGTGTGTGCTACCCCATTCTGGCAGCCCTAGGAAATGAGCGCACCATCCCAGTGCTCCAGACTCAAAATCATGGCTCTGGGGCTTCTCGGGGGACAAATCTCCTCCAAAGTTCTGACCCAGCGGGCCCAGCGCGGTTAATGCCAGATGGGTCTGCCTTCCACCTGTCCCATCAGGGCCAACGTGGTGGCCGGTGTGGAGGACTGGCACGTTTCCCCTGACAGGCATCGGTGGGTAATCAGGTGTTCACAGAAGGCAGGCAACTTTGACGGCCACTCTCCCCGCCATCTTGTGGAAAGGCTCCCACGAGGATCCACCTGCCTAGGAGGTTTTCCAGGATGAGTCGCACCCGGAGGTAGAGGCAGGGGCTGAGAAACTCACCTTGGGAATGGTGCAGTTTGCCGTGCTGATCAGGGTGGCCGCGCCTGTAATGAAGAACTGCAGAGAGGCAGGAGGACTCGTGGCCCCTGAGAACCTGGGGCGGCCCCCCCCCCCAGCAAGACCCTTGTGCTGGAAAGTTCCCTGGGGAGTTCGCCATCTGTGAAGGACTTACCCTGAGGGTGGACATCTATGGCTCATCACAATGTGGCCAATTAACAGGGAGGGACAGGGTTATGGCAACAGAGAAGGGCACATGGTCTCCCGCCAGGCTCTGCAGAGCTTGGTAGGACAGAATTCTAGAAGGTGACCACTAAAGATTCCTAGGTACCTCATCCACCCCTTCTCAAGCAATCGGAGCATACAAGTAGCCTAGGCACTTGTTAAAACGCAGACTGAGGGCGCCTGGGTGGCTCAGTTGGTTAAGTGACTGCCTTCGACTCAGGTCATGATCCTGGAGTCCCAGGATCGAGTCCCGCATCGGGCTCCCCGCTCAGCAGGGAGTCTGCCTCTCCCTCTGACCGTCTTCCCTCTCATGCTCTCCCTCTACCATTCTCTCTCTCTCTCTCAATAAATAAATAAAAAAAAATCTTTAAAAGAAAAAAAAAACGCAGACTGATTCAGTTCGTCTGGGGTGGGGCCAAGACTCTGCATTTCTAACAGGCTCCCAGGAGATGCTGGCCTCTGGTCTGGACACCACACTTTCGGGAAGGACCAGTCTCTTAATATGAAGGTGAAGAGACTAGGGCAGCTTCTTCCCTTGTCTCAGCCTAAGTCATGGGGCTGGGAAGTGATAAATCTGGGTCTAGAAAGCAGGTGTCTGACTTGAAGTCATGGCGGGGGCGCTTTTCTACAGCAGGGGCTCTATTTCTTGACTTGTGTGCCAGATGTGGGACCCCCACACCCCACCCCACGAATCTTGCCTTTCTTCTTGCTTGGGCTAAACCTGTTGGGGTAGGGGCCCTTTTCCACCACTCCCTTCCTCCCCCACCCCACGTGCAGTGAAGCAACTGCAGCCTCTGGCTGATCACACTGCAGCCCAGCTACCGGCCTTGGGTCACCCAGCCCTGCATGGGTGTGTGAGGCGGGGTGAGTGAGAGCTTCCCCTGGAGCTCAGGACAGTTTCACATGCTGCGTCCTCACCCCCATTTCAGACTCAAACTCTTCCCCAAGGGCCCAGGGAGGGAGCAGAGTTCCTCGTAGCCTTCCCTGGCTCCACAGAAAGCCTGGCTCTGGCCGCCACCGGGCAGGGTCTCCAGGGTACTCACCAGCACTCCACCGGCCAGCAAGTACCAGTAAGTGGTGGGAAACTCCACAAATTTTGGGGCAGCAACCAGGATACCTCCACCGCTGATATGAAGCAAGCCAATAAGGATCTGCAGGCCCTGTGGGGCATAGGTGGAGGTGAGCTAAAGCCCTGGTGGTCCCTGGAAGGGCTCTTTCAAGGACTCAAGTGGTGGGGCTGAGCAAATCTTTGTCCAGATGTCACTGCCCAAAGGGATCTTAGACAAACCTCCTCATCTACCTCCTGACTTGGCATTGGAGAGAATGAGTGCCTTGCCAAGATCACCCAGCCAGTTAGGGGCAGAGCCAGGGCCCCCCATCCCCAGCTGGGCACAACTGATTTGCAGAACTCTTGAAGCCTTGGGTTAGGACCATCTTGGGCATCCAGCCTGGTCCTCTTTCGTGAGATATTATCCGTATGTGGGTTACCTCCAAGGGGCCAGGCTCCGAGTGTGCTAAGCACTCTATGCGTCCAATCATGAAGCTGTCAGAAGCCCAGGAGGCTGGCACCCTCGTCACTGTGATGCAGATGGGAAGCGAGTCCCTAGCCTGAGGTCTCCAAGCTGGACTCTGAGCTTGTGTGTGCCCAAGCACAAGGTCTGCGCTCCTTGCTCGCTATGTATGACATCTGTGTAAGCATCCTGGTGGTTTCAACCTCGCCTTCCAGAATGCTGGGTTGACTCCTCCTAGGCTGATTGCCCCAAATTTGTGGTCATTTGTTCCAAGCTGTGACTGGCCCCCTCCTAGGCTTCTTTGACCCTGAGAGCAGCACTGCGACCTTGCCTTCCGACATGCTGCATCTCTGAGTATCACCCAAGAGGGGTAGCTTCTCCCAGGCTCCCTCTGCTCGCTCTATCCTCCACCGCCCATTGCAACAAGGTAAGTGAGCCCCCACTGGTGACCACATGATTTGGGATTCAGCCGTCGGGCTTAGCTGCTACTCTGACATCCGTGCCCAACAGACACCCTCGGCTCACACTTGCTGACCACTGACCAAGACCCACTCAGGTGTGGTAGAGAGAGCCACAGACAGGTGTGGGACATCAGAAAAGGAAAGTCAAGGGGAACCAGAGGGAAGCTGACTTCTTATCCCAGAGTGGCCCAAGGAGGATGTCACCCTGCTCACTCTGGGCCTGCCACCCTCCAGGACGTGATGGCAGCCCCAGCCTTTCCTATTTTTCCGAGCTGGAGGCCATGCAGGGACAACCCTGCAGATCTGTCTTATTTTCCTGCTCCTTTAACTTTCTCACCGGAATATGCCTTTGGCCCTATAAATCCTGCCCACCACATAGCTGCTGGGATTGGTGGTGGCTGTTTCAGGTCTACCCTGGAGGGAGGGTCTGTGGGGACTGAGTGGTCCACTTACTCCCAAGGTGGTTGGTTGTCCCTGGAAGAAGAGGTCCTCCCTGCTTAGGCGGGCAGTCTCCGGGGTCTGGGGCAGCAGGGAGGGCTCCTCTGGGCTCCGCCACGGCAGCCCTGGGGTCCCGGGGACAGGGGATATCACTCGCTGCTGCTCCCGGCTTGTCACCACTGATGAGCCGGCTTCCGACGGCAGCTGGGCTCGGGGCTGGGCTGCCTTCAGCTTGCCGGAGGGAGTTGGAGCTGGGATCCTGGAGCCTGGCGGCTCAGATATCCTCGCCCCGGGCACCTGGGCACACACATAGGTCATCCGAGGATGAGGCAAAACATTCCCGAGCACATCCCCATTCCTGGGTCCCTGTTTCTCCAGCTGAAAAGCTTCATGGCCAGGAGAGGTCATTGGTAACACATGGGTGAATGTGTCATTTGTAGCAATTAAAAGCGAAGGGCTACATGTCTGCAGAGAGTGATAGGTATGCATCTTAAACAGGGCTGAGTAGGAAATAAAAAGAAACAGAATGAGCCGTCACAATGCCGTCTGTGTAAATGAAATGTTGCACTTGGAACAGTTCACAAACAAACACACACATTAAAACACACGGAAGTCGCTGCCTGGGGCTGGGGGATGAGGGCAGGGATGCAGGTACGGGTGGGGGCGGGGTGTGGCCCGGGACTGACCCCCCGCCCTGGGCTCACGCTTACCAGCAAACAGTTACAGTTTGTCAAGCCCAGTCTCCATTTCGCTTTCGGGAGACAGAACTAGCTTGCCTGGATCACACGGTTAATAAAGACCAGAGCTGGCCTCCGAATCAGGCCAGCTGGCTACAGACCCTGAGCTTTTCCTGCTTTAGGGCACCCTTCCCATCCCCTGCTACCCCTGGCCCTTACCTTCCTGCTCGGCCAGGCTCGTTAATAACACCACCAACTCCACAGTTCACACCTGTGTCTACAGCTCGTGAACCACTTCTCCGGGTAGGTTCCCCTGCTTAATTACTAAGCATCCCCTGAGTTGTGTAGGGCTGGGAGTACCACATCCACTTTGCTCAGGTCAGACAGACGTAAATAGGGAGGTCTACACTTGTACCCGTGCCTTCTGAGCCCCCACATCCTGTGTTCAGTCCACTGCCTCATGCTGCCTCCCTTAGCAAAAATGGGGGACATTATAAAAAAAAACAACAGAAATCCAGAACACCTCAAATTATGAGTGAGCTCAGGAACAGAGAGCTGGGAGGCCCCTGGAGTCTGAGAACTGCAGCCCTGAGCATTTACCTGACCGTGGGGCCCTCCATCAGCAGCTGGGGTGCCTCCTCACCCCCCCTCGGCCCACCACGGCCCCTTCTCTGCCCCAACCTGCAGCCTCCCAGTGCCTGGCCCCTGCTCAAGCCACCTTGACAGACAACCTGCTACCTTTTTCCTGCTCCCACGAGATGCTGCCCAGTCTTGATCAATCACAACAATCAGCTGGGTGCTTGCTAAAAATCACCGACACCGGGCCTCACTGCTGGCCTGGCCTCCCCAATCAGCCTCTCCTGGGGAGGTGCCTGGGAATCCCAGCCTTGAGTAACGCCCTCCTTCCGCAGGTGGTCCCTCCACTCAGGCCTGTTTGCAGAACGTCCGCCCATCCATCCCTCCCTCCGGGCCTCCGGCCCCTGCTGCGTTGCTGTGGACCAGGGAGGTCTCCTGGCTGTGAGCTTCTGCACTGATGTCTCAACTCCCGCATCTGAGCCAGTCAGCTGGCCCCTCTGCTTCCTCACCTCGAAAATGGAGGGCAATATCTGTCCCAGAGGATCCTGTAGGGTGAAACTCCCCGCTGAGTGCAGAGTCGACGCAGGGCCCGATCTCATGACCCCAAGATCATGACCTGAGCCGAAATCAAGGGTCAGGTGCTCAACCGACTACACCACCCAGATGCTCCATGTCTGAGGTCCTGCCTGGACCCTGCCAATATTTCCACAGAATCTAAGTGCCATACACTGAATGTATGTGTCTCCCCAAAATTCATGTGTTGAAACCTGACCCCCCCATGTGATGGTATTTGGAAGTGGGGCCTTTGGGAGGTGCTCTGCCCTCACGAATGGGATTAATGCCCTTATGAAAGAGGCTCCAGCAAGCTCCCTCACTCCTTCTGTCATGTGAGGACACAGAAAGAAGACAGTCCATGAACCAGAAAGAGGGCTCTTACCAGACATTGAACTGGCCAGCCCCTTGATCTTGGACTTCCAGCCTCCAGAATGGGGAGAAATACATGTTTGTAGGTTAAACCACTCAATCTATGGTATTTCTGTTGTAGCAGCCCAACTAAGACATAAGCTTTCAGCAGGACTGGGGCTCAGCTGAGTTAACCAGTGAGTGTTCTAAGAGCCGCACTGGGATTCCAATAAATATGCTCCCTTGTGACCAGGAATGTTGCCCCTCTGATGCTTGGCTTCCTCATCTGTGTGCAGGGAGGATATCCTCCCGCCCGGCCCCCGTGGGTGCTGAATCAGATCCTGCCGGCTCCACTCTGCCCATCCAAGTTGGGGAGGAGGTCTGAGCCAAACCCCAGCCACACGGCTGTTCCCTCCTTCAGGCTTCCCCAGACACCGGCCGAGAGGAGGACAAAGTTAGCAGATGTCACTTTAATTCCAACATATTTATCAAGTGCCAGGGATACAAAGTTGGAAATATCCCAATAGGTTCCAGTCTAGCAGAGTTAACACCTCCGGAACAGCAACTGCCCAGATTCAGTTTAAAAACGAAGAGATTGGCCAATCTTCTTAGAAAATGATTGGCCCCCAAAGGTGATTAATAAATAGGGTAGAGGATCCAGGAGGATCTCAGGGCAGGAGAAGGTACCCTGTGAGTGCCACGTGTCCATTATGAGGAAAGGGACAAAGATGGAGTGTTTCAGGAACCCGAGGGATGCTGACAAAGATTCACAGAGAACAGGCGTTTGCTGGGATTTCCTTCCTGTGTTTGCTGGGATTTCCTCCGGAAGAAACATGGAGAGATAAGCCCCGGTGTCTGGTCCCCAGAGGCTTGTTGGGGGATCAATAATGAGTTCAAGTCCAATAATGAAGTTCAAGTCAGCTCTGCCGCTAACATGGTATGGGTTAATCCCTTCCCGGGGTCTCAGTTTCCCCGTTTGTAAAATAACGGGTTTGGGTTGGAATGATTAGCATTGTCAGAGTTCTGTGTGATGCTGTCAGCCCCGTGCCCATTTCTGGGGCGCCAAGGAGCTCCCTGGCTCATGCTACCACAGAGACAGAGAAGAATAAAGATCTTACTGCATGTGCAACTGGAGATGCCCGGGCAGCAGGGAGGCTGGCCAGGTCGCTGCAGTGCTCCCAGGGAATGGGTGCCGAGGAAGGGGAGCAGAGAGTTCCCAGGGGAGCCAAGACACCGGTTTGGAAATTCAGTAACTCTGCCAACAAGGCTCCGTCCCCCTCCGGGGCTTCTAACCGGTACCCAGACCACAGCCGAGATTTGGTGAGAGTGGTGTCCCACTCTTGTGGTCTGGGTTCTTATACAGACAGTGACAGATACCCCACTTGAAGGAGCTTGCGGTCCAGTGGGCAAGATGCCCACAGACCAAGGGGCAAGTGTCTGTGGGCCTGGACATAGCTCCCTGATTCATGGGGCTTGTCTGACTAACAAGGTCTTAACCTAATTGTTTGCAAAGTAAGTGACTTTAGGAGGGAAACCTCATTTCTTCTTGACTTACACTTTCTTTCTTCATTTATGCCACTTATTTGGCTCCTGAAGGGCTGTGAGTTTGAGACCCTTAAAAATGAAGAGCCACCATGCGAGCCAGTGTGCGGTGGGGGACGAGGAATGTGCGTGGGTTGGGTGGGGGCAGGCTCCGTGGAGGAGTACGTGGGCCTGGGAGCTTTCCAGGCAGAAGAACCAGACAGCGCAGTAGAGACACAGGGCATTTTGGAGGGATACCAGATGTGGCCGGAGCAAGACAGTTCTGGAAAGGAGAGGAGGCTGGTGCGATTCTAACAGCCATGGCCGCAGAGACCTCCCCCAGACTTTCCCCCTCTCCTCCAGAAAGCAGCCACTCCTCTGGGGCTGGTCAGCTGTCCTCTGGAATCACAGGTGACAGGGGCCCAGATCAATGTGGCCGCTGGGGAGCCCTCTGTTCTCTTCCTCCTCCAAACCCCCTCAGCCATGTCCCCCTGGATGAGACAGAGGGTCTGGCCCTGGGAACTGCTCTGAAGCAGTCTTTCCAGGATTTGGAATGGAAGCAAAGACGTGGTACAGAAAGCAAGCAGCAGTGGCCACAGGACGCAGAGAGGGGACAGGCCTGACCACAGGGAGGGCAGCAGGCCGAGGCTGGACGGTGTCGCTCTGCCCCAAGCCCGCCAGACGGGGGCCTGGAGCAGCCCCCTCACACTGGCGGGCCTCCGCTTCTCCTCTGCGGCACTGGAACAACGGGGATACTGGACGTAGGGCTCGCAGCCCCGACCCTGCACCTTGCTGTCTGAAGGCCACGGGCAGGGGCCAGGGCTTCCCCACGGCCAACACAGAGAGGGAGAGGCGGACAGAACCGCTTCTCATGCCAGGGGGATGGGGCAGGGTGACCTGCGGGAGAGACGGACTGTGCCTTTCTCCTCCAACCTCCAGCCTGCAGCCTCATTCCTCCCCCTGGAAAGGACAGACACGTCTTCAGAGAGGTCCAGAGAGAGGTCCAGTCTCTTCTGACAGAGTGAAGAGAGAACAGGGGCATAATAGCAACTTGGAGTTTCAAGTGCTGCCCTGAACATGCTTCCACGAGGATCTCTGGGGGCAGGTTTGACCCATCAGACGGAGCCGTCTGAAGGGGGCTGGAGAAGGGAGGGAGGGGTGGGTGCCCGGCTAGGAAATTCCAGTGGCTCTTCCTGGGAGAGATGGTAGGTCTGGGGACAAGGGAGATGGTGTGAGGGTTCAGGGACGGTGGCCACCCAGGGACAGATCCCCAGCACCCCAGCCTGCAGGGCAGTGGGGCGAGAGGCTCGCGGGGCAAGCCCACCCCACACTGAGGGTGTGAGGGGCATCTCGGGGGTCGGCAGCATCTCGGTGGACACTTGGGCAGGAGCCACTATTCCAAGGATGAATCCCTGAACTTTCTACGTGACCCAGTGAAGCTGAGCAGAACCCCAGTCCTGACTGATAAAAGATACTCTCTTTCCCTATCAGCCAGATTTAACTCAAGACAAGTAAAAAAACAAAACAAAACAAAACAAAAAACAGAATGTTTTACTAGCTGCAGGTTCACTACCCTCTGGGGAGCTTTCTCATGTGCAAGGAGCGGGGGGAGACCCAAGAAAGAGGCAGCCCACTCCAGGGTGGTGGGTGATAATTTTAACACCAGCAAAGAGAACTTACAGATGAGGCTTGCCTTGGGCGGCACACCCACCCTCCAAATCTTAAAAGTTTATCAGGAGGCCCTAACTGGACTCGGTCACGTACAACGTGCAGGTGTTCTCAACATCACATCGCACCTCAAGGCTGTGGCCTTGGAGCAGCTTCTGGGGGCAGGAAGGTCAAATGGAACCCACATTCCAAGGACAGGGGCGGGGTGAGGAGCCTCCCTGTGCCGGGGTCCAGCTCCTGGGTCATTGGCGGTCATGTCTGTTTTGATCACATTCCCTAACGCTTGCCCACGATGCCCCTTTAAGTCCACGGGGGAGGATCACGTGGGTCAGTGCAGGAACTTTCCCTGAAATCGTTCCGAGGAAGTTACTGTATTTGAGTAGGCGCACGCCAACAGGGCTTGGGATGGAGAGGGGCGGCAATGGGGCAAGGCACGCCCACAGGCTCCCCGCCCCCCCCATACACACACAAGACACTCAGGCACACTCTTCTTGGGGCTTTTTTGCCCTCCCGTGTTGCGGTCTTCAGCCCACAGCTGCTCTTGCGCCCCGCAGGTGCCCCATCCTCCTCTGTGCACCCAGCGACCCCCTGTATTGCTCTTCTTTCCTCAGCTATCTGCCCTGTCTGTCACCTTCCCGCATCCCCACGGAGCTGCACACTCCTACCTGTCCAGGTGGGCTGGCCCCGGCTTTGCTGGCCAGTGAGGCCCCGCAGAGTGTCTGAGGGCTCACCCCCCTCAGGGCCACACGCAGCCTGACTCTGCTCTGCCTCAAGCCTGCTGTGCCACCCTGGGCAAGTCACTTAGCCTCTCTGAGCAGGGCGGGAGACTGACTGTGGGGAGGGTCCTGACCCACCCTTCGCAGGACTGAACAGGCAAGAAGCTCCCAGTTACCAAGCCTTGAAGCCTTGAGAGCCAGGCACAGGGGCTTGTACCGGAGCAGATGAGCCAGAGGCGTAATGGCTGGCTCCCACTGAGGCAGGGAGTTCTCCAGACTTTGCATACGATGGTCTCAGAGAGATCTTCCCAGAACATAAATCAATGGCTCCCTATGGCCTACAGCACACTCTGGAAGCCCAGGCTTCATTCTAGCACAGTTTCCCAACCTTGGCAACATTGGCCTCCATGAGCAGACGCCCCGGAGTGAGCCTCCATGGGATGGAACGTGCTGCCCCCTCAGTTGGCCTGTTTTGTATTATTGAACTTTTTGACCCCATGACTAAGACTGTCTTAGTCTGCTCAGGCCGAGTGGCTCCCACAGCAAACATTTATCTCTCACAGCTCTGGAGGCTGGCAGTCCAGGGTGCTGGCATGGTCGGGTTCTGGGGAGGGCCCCCTTCCTGGCCTGCCAGTGTCTGCTTCTCATCGAATCTTCACGTGGCTGGGAGCCGAGACAGGAGCGACCCTCCCCTGCCTCTTCCAAGGACACCCATCCCAGCAGCGAAGACCCTACTACCCTTGGGGCCTAATTTCCTTCCAAAGGCCCCACCTCCCAACACCCCCACACTGAGCATCAGGGTTTCAACATAGGAATCTGGGGGTGCGTGGCGGGGCGGGGCACGGACATTCAGTCCGTAGCAATGATTTTTATCTTACCTGCTGACTGAGGATGCTGACCCCTGTGTGTGTGTGTGTGGGGGGGGGGTTTCCTGTATTTGGAAATTCCATTTGTAATTTCATAAATGCTTCCTGTTTCCCTTGTCACACGCCTTTGCCCGGGCTGTTCCTGCCACCAGGAGCACCCTTCCTCCCTCTGAGGCCCAGCACAGACAGACAGACAGCCCGTCCTCCTGCAGCTCCTCCCTAACTGCCCCACCCCCCTGTTCCCAGGACACCCTCCCTGTCGGTCCTGAGGTCACTGTGTTTACTTTCACTGCCCAGAGCCACCCCGCAGGAGGGCCTTTCCACCTCTGTTTCAAGTTCCCAGTTATTCAGACACCAATCTAGATGATGCTGGGAGGTATTTTGCCTATGTGATTGCACCCGTAATCGTGGGACTAGTAAGTAAGGGAGATGTTCCTGGATGGTCCGGACGGGCCCGATTCAGTCAGTGCAAGGCTTGAAGCACAGAAGTGAAGCTTCCCTCATGGGGAAGAAGCTCCAGCCGTGGAGGGCAGCTGCGGACGGCGCCCGGGAGCCCCAGCGCGGCCCACCCACTATGCACTTGCCGCCCCAGCCCCCAAACTGCGGGAGCCAGTTCCTTGCAGTCAGTCTCCAGTGTGTCTCCCTCTGGTTCTGACTCTCTGGCTGAGTGCTGACAGGAACAGTGTCCAGCTCCGGCAGGGGCCTGGTACACAGTGGGCCATTTGCTACAGAATGCATGTGAAGCAGCAGGTGTACTGGGAAGGCAGTGGGGAGGCAGGGACGAAGTGGTGGCTGCAGAGGGGAGGGTGGGAGAGCTGAGCAGGTGGCTAAAGGCTGTGGCCTGGGGAGAGCTCTGGTCAGCTAACCCTAGTCCTTCCCCAGGTCAGCGCTGAGCAGCCTTCGGGCCTCCACTAGGACAACCTCCAGAGGAGAGGACTGACTCCTTCTCTGCCTCCCCCCATATTCCCAGTCAGGTCTCCATCAGTCCTCAGAGCACTTCCACCAGTTACACATTTATTGGTGGGACCCTTAGGGCCTGTCTCACCCACTGGAGGCCAGCATCAGAGAGGCTGGGGGCTGTGTTCTGGCTGCTCGTGGTAGTCTGCCTTCAGACACAGCACAGTGCGGATCCGTCCTCACCTGCGGAGGAAGGGGGGAGGGAAGGATGAGCAAAATGCTCTCGTGCCTCCATGAGCTGCCTTGAGCACAGGGAGTCCCTGGGGGAGGGGGGTGTGGGAGGGAGGAAGGGCGTGGCTTTGAGGCTTCTCTTGATGCTCCCAGGGTAGGGATGGGGTTAGAGTTTGCAGGATTGTCCTGTAGCGCGGAGGACACTGTAGGTGGGGGAATTTGCGGGGGAGGGGGTTCAGTTGGGTGCAGACAGCTGCTGGCCTCATCCCCCAGGCTCCCAGGGAAGGAAGGGGAGCATATCACGGGCAGTGGGCAACGGCGCCAGACCTGGGCTCCAGCCTCACCTCAGTCTAAGCCCTGCTGGATAACCTTTCATCCACCTGGGCCTCAGTTTCTCCATCTGTCACATGAGGGCTTAGTGAGATCATCCATAAAGATCCTTCTGGTACGAAAGTTCTATGAGACCAGGAGGTAGAATCCCAGGTTCCAGGGCCCAAGTGAACTTTCAGCTCCACCACAGAGGGCAAACCTGCTTCTTTCTTGTCAACGGGGTGGGATGAGCGGGTCCACTCGCCTGTCTTCCCAGACTTCAAACATTCAAGCTCTACCTTCACAATTTATATATATTTATCTGTGTTTTATGCCATTATTTACTTAATGGGTTTCTTTAAATGGACCTTCTTTTTTAAAAGTTGTTTTTTTTTCAATTCAGTGATTTTTAGCATATGCACAGAGTTGTGCAATGATCGCTACGATTTTAGAGCATTTTCATCTCCGCTTGCAAAAAACCCTGGGCCCATCATTCCTTTGTTTTAACTGACACACATGTCTTCTAAGAGCGCACTGTGTCACGACTGTAATTGGGAGGCCAGTGTCACTTGCTGGAAGTAGAAGACAGCCTACCCAAGACAAGGAACAGCACGGCTAAGTTCTGGCCTGATGCCATGCCCACAGAACGAGGCCCACTGTGTCTTGGTGGAGAGACATCAGCTTGTGTTAGAGAGGTGTTAAAGATACGACAGTCCCAAATGGAGACTTTCTCCCTAAAGAAATCCAAGAGATTGATGGAGATTGAAGAGGAGTTACCTTCCCCCGCCCCACGCACTGATATAATTTATCGCCATGTTCTCACATCCTACACCATTTCCCCCCACATCTACAGCGCTTTGGGGAACATGTAGTTGATACTTTTACATCTGCAGTCTTCTCTGACCCTCACAACCACTCTGTGAGGGAGGAATGACCTTTCCCACTCTACAGATGGGAAATGGAGGCTCGTTTCCACAATGAGTCAGAGGTACAGGACGTTCTTAGTCCAGTGACCTTCCCATCCCCTGTGCATCTCTCTCTCCGCCACCCTGACCAGGACCCCTGGCTCTGGGTGTGCTCATTTCTCGGGAGTCCACTGCTTACAAGGCTGGTCCCTCCCCAGGCTTGGGGGTAGTTGGTGGTGTCTTCGTTGAGGATGGAAAGGCCTCACTGTCTATGGGGACCCAGGTGACTGAGCACTCTGGTTTATTTGCCCTAAGGCCACCCAGGCAACCCTACTAAGCAACAGCATCTTGAGGTCAGCTGTGGGCCATGACCCCTTCCTCCTGTTGCCTCATTGTCGCAGAAACCCAGCATGCTGGAGCTCACTGGGAACCCAAGGGTCATGGAGGCCAGTGTCCCCCAGCCCCTAAGCTCATGAATCCCTTTACCGCCTTGGTAACTGTATGACCGCGGCAAGGTTTCCAGTTACTCTTTATGTGTGCATCAAGTTAGTATTTACTATATTTGAGATTTATATACTATACCTTCAACCAATACAGAAAGACTAATTTCAACATTTTCCTATTTAATAAGTGATGTGAACTGTTCCGTTTTCTTTTTTTTTTAATTTATTAATTTATTTGACAGAGAGACACAGCAAGAGCAGGAACACAAGCAGGGGGAGTGGGAGAGGGAGAAGCAGGCTTCCTGCGGAGCAAGGAGCCCGATGTGGGGCTCGACCCCAGGACCCTGGGATCATGACCTGAGCCGAAGGCAGATGCTTAACGACTGAGCCACCCAGGCACCCCTGTTTTCTTTTCTTTTTAAAAAGATTTTATTTATTTATTTGAGAGAGAGAGAGCGAGCTGGGGGAGGAGCAGAGGGAGAGAGACAAGCGGACTCTGTGCTGAGCATGGAGCCCGATGCGGGGCTCGATCCCACAACCCTGAGATCATGACCTGAGCCAAAATCAAGAATTGGACGCTTGACCGACTGAGCCACCCAGGCACCCTTGTTTTGTTTTCTTAAAACAAAACAAAACAAAACAACAAAAAACAACAACTGCAGGAAAAGGCGGGTATAAAGACTGACAGAGGCAGTGGTGAGCAGTGACAGTGACCCCCATGCCCGGGATTACTAACTGAGGGACAAGCGGGCCCTGGGGTCTGAGACGTGATGCAGTGAGAAGGCTCCAGCATGACTGTCGGGGAGTTCTCCCCAGCCTTCACCCTGCGTCGAACCAAGCCTCAGGGTCACTGCCAGGTGAGAGGAAAGAGGAAGATGGGGGGCAAGTGAAGGGCACCGGGAGGAAACAAGCAGACATTTCATAGAAAACTGTTCTTTTCATGAGGAAGAGGTGGGAGGATTGTTCTAGATTAAAAGAAAACAAAGAGATGTGACAATCAAATATAATGCATGAAACTTGATTGGATCCGGGTTAAACCTAAAGTACAGTAAAGGACATTTTTGGTCCCATGGGAAAAATTTGACTATGGACAGCATATCAGAATTATGGAATTATTTTTAATTTTCTTAGTGCGATAACACTTTTGTGATTATGTAGAATGCCCATATTCTTGGAAAAAAATGCAGGTGGAAGAATAAGGGGATGAAGGGCCATGGTATCTGTAACTTACTTTCAAATGGTTCTACAGAAAAAGTGTATATACGGATGTACGTGTGCGTATCTGCGCGCGGATGTACGTGTGCGTATGTGCGCGCACGCAGGGGTATGGATGGAGAAAGAGGAAGCAAATGTACAAACTCGACACTTATGTAATCACTGTACTATCCTTTTCGTTGTTTGGTTGACTATACAAGCCCATCGCCGTCCTAGTGCAGTGTCCTATTTTACAGATGAGGAAACTGAGACCCAGTGAGGCATGGGGCTGAGTCAAGGTCACCGAGTAAGTGATGACCGAGCTGGAATTTGCACCCGGGTCTCCAGACAGCCAAGCTGAAGTTCTCTTCTTCATGTCCCTTGTCCTAAACATTGGTCCTAACCATTGGTCCCCAACATTTGCATGGCTCTTGGCTCCCTGAGGCTCCCTCCGAGCCCAGTGGCTTCTCCTTTGCATTCGGCTCCAAGGCCAGCTGCAGCCTGCAGAACCAGCAGACCAGAAGCGGAGAAAAGAGGCTATGGACAAGCCAGTGACCGAAACCAGAGGTGACAGCGAGGAGTGGCAACAAGGGAGGTGACAATAGGGGAATTCAGACAACCTTGAACCCCGGGAATATTCAGAGTGCCCTTGATCAGGAGGGCATCTCTACACATAGGGGTTGTTGAAGGCTGCTAGTCCGAACAACCATGAACCTGGGCTACCAGACGGCAAACAGCCTGTCTGGGAGGACGGGGTGCCCATGAGCTTTGTGGGCTGACTCTGCCATGCGCACCGTGTGGTCCCCTCAGACGGACTAGTCTCATCCGAGCAGTGAGTGCACAGCTCCCGCAGAGCAGGGCCCATCCTATAACCACATCGGGTGCTGTCAGGAGGCAGCATTTCAGTTTGGAGTGAGAGTGCTCAGGTCCAAATCCTGGTTCCTTACCAGCTGTGTGCCTTGGGGCAGCTTGCTTAACCTCTCTGAGCCTGCGTGAAAGGGGGATAGTAACTGAACCTACATCACAGACGGATGGGGCCAGCCTTGGCCCAGAGTCAGTAGCCCAATAAAGATTCACAGAGTGAGTGGGAAGAGAGTCCGGGCAGAGGAAGGGCAAGGGGATGGCTCAGCGGCAGGGGTGTGCTTGCAGCATCTGTAGAACCTCAAGGAAGCCAGGGTGTCTGGAGCAGACGACTGAGAGATGGAGAAGCTGTAGCTGACATCACAGCAGTGGGCGGCAAGTTAGTTTTGTTTTCACCGTGTTTATATTATTTTTGTGCTTAGCTTCCTTTTATGGAGAGTTATTGGCTTCCTGTTTATTGCAGATACAAAGTACCCCTCCCAAATGATACATCGTGAAAAAAAGAACCATTTATGGAAACACAGGAGGAATGAAGCCCAGTCCACAAATAACAGTAACCCCAGACTGTCCTGGGACCACTACATTCGGGAACGGAGAAAGGCGGCTCTCCCTCATTTGACTTACTCGGCGGGAATTGGTGTGAACCGTGAGCCTGCAGGTTCACAACGGGAATCCTGAACTTGACTCCTATCTCAGCTTTCCAGCGGGGGTTCGGGGGGGCGATGGCCTCATCCACCCACTCCCTCATGGTACAGATGGAGACACTGAGGCCCAGGGAGGCCGGGAGATGCATTCACAGTTTGCTGGGAAGAACTGGTCCCAGTTTCCATCTGACTCAACGCCCCAGCCCCCCCCCAGACCCGAATCCAGGGATTTGGACACAGACTGCACCCTGACTCACCCCACAGCCCCACAGGGACACGCTCCCCGTGTGTCCCACCAGTGACTGGAGAAAGCAGACAGGGAGTGGAGAGGGCGTGGAGTGGGGGCCGGGGTCTGCTCCTGGGTGGGTAGGACAGGGCGGTGCTTTGGCCCAGCTGAGGCAGCTCTGGCCAGCCACTCAGGTGCTGAAGAAGTGTCACGGAGGGGCTGGGGGCCCAGAGGGGTCCCTCCTGTGCCTGAGGGGATGGGAACCGTCCCCACCTTGGCCACCAGCTCGGGGCAGACTGTTCTAGCAATGGCACCATTTGCCCCTTTATTGCAGCCGCCCCCTCGGAACTGGTCCATGTCTGTGCAGGAAGAAGGGACTGGGGGGTGAACTCTGATGGTTTGGGGAGCCCAGGGCCTCCGTACCTCTGCTTTTGCTCGTCTTATATGCCACCTAAAGTCACATCCTCATAGGATGGTGGAGGACTCATCGGCCGCCGCCTGAATGCCACCGGTGTGTCAGGAACAAGGGACAAGTCATCTTTCTGCAAAAAAGGAGCCACCGTCCCTGCCGCTCACGTTCATGCGGTGAGTGGCCATTTACAAAGCACTGCCCACTGGCTCCTCTGTGGACGTGTCAAGGTTCCCATGGAGATGGGGACCCCGAGGCTTGGGAAGGGGCTTTCAGAAGGCCACTCTGGGCCTCTCTCTCCCTCCCTGTCCCTGAGGAGGGAGTGCGGAGAGGCCTGCTGGGAGATAGTGGACTGACCCTCATTCTAGGCCTGCTACCAGTGTGCAGGGGACCTTGGGCAACTCACTCCTCCCGTCGGCTTCCCTGTTGGGGCTGGGCCAGGGTCCCTCCCAGCCAAAGCACACTCTAGGGGTGTGCTCCCAGTGTCTCCAGGGACTGCTGCCCTGGCCTCATCCCTGGTTTGTGATGAGGCTGCGGCAAAGCCCATCCCTGGCCCTGTTTTCTCAGACAGAAGGGGACACAGAGGCCTTTGGAGGAGGTGCGGCTTGGCCCCTCCCTGCTCATGTGACTGTGGGGTGTCACGTAACCCTGCTGAGCCTCATTCTTCCTCCAAAAATGGGAAAGCAGAACGTACCTCCCTGCCTCCCAGAGTGGCTGCGAGGTGCTAGGAGGTCTGAACCGGGGCGGTATGGCCTCCAGGGACGTCTGTGTCCTTGTCCCCCACCCCATGCATATGTCAGGCCACGTGGCAAAGCGGACTTCCGGCTGCTAATCAGGTGAAGGGCAATTTTCTTGGATTCTCTGGGTGGGCCCGCGGACCCTCCCGTAGAGCCTCCGGTGGGAGAGCAGCCCTGCCAGCAAGGCTCAACAATGGTAGCCCCGCAAGACCCACTCACACTGCCGGCATCCAGAACCGTGAGACCCCACGGCTGTGTCTTTTTAAGCTGTCAGATTAGCGATAATTTGTTGCCACGGCAACGGGACGCCTGCAGTGTTCAGCGCAGCAGATGCCAGTAAGTGGGAGCCGGTCTCGTTAATTCCTGCAGCAGGTAGGGGGCCTCAGTCTCCCCATCCTGAGCCGTGGGGTTGGCCTCAGGGACTCAAGCCCTCTCCCAGCTCTCTGACGTCTTACCGAGATTTCCCGCCAGGCAGCCGGGCCCTGACTGGGACAACCAGCTCGGGGCCACCACTCCTATTTGTGTCGTGCAATCTCTGTGGACAAACGGCACCCACTTGAAAACCATAGGAGAGTTGAACTCGCAGGATCATGGGGAATTTGGAGCCCGTGTTTTTGTCTATTCTCAAGTTCAGATTCTAATAGGAACTTTTCTCCTTTACAGAAGTGAGCCTAGAAAATCACGTCTGGTCAGGGCCACTGGCCCTGTGGGGAGAGGCTAGTCTATTCCAAAACACATCTGGCCCCAGCCTGCCGTTCTGCCAACCTCACGGGCGGACCGTCCTGGCCGTGGGTTAGACACACCTTGGACCGAGTCCTGGATTTCCTTACGGGCTGACTGGCCTTGGGAAGGGAAAGGACCACTCTAAGCCTCAGTTTACTTATCTGTGGGATGGGGAAGTAGGTACCTACCTTGAAGGGCTGTTGAGAAAATTAAGCTAAATCAAGATATGGGGGGGGTGGTTGTTGTTGTTGTTGTTTTTTTTTTCCAAGTTATATTTTTCTAAAGTGCTCAATAGCAGGAGTGCCCCATAAGCCTGAAATGCTCAGTCCCATATGACCCCCCCTTGCTTGCTCCCTCCACAGCCAAACCCCACAAAACGCCATAGCTCTCCTGGCCTTCCCTGTCCCGTCCCCAAGCCATTGTCCATGACCTTGCCTCTGCTGGAGGTCCCTTCTCCCATTCTGCCTGCAAGTTCAAATCCTGCCTGGGGCGTCCACCCATCTCCCTGGAAAAGCCCCCGGGGCCTCAGGGCCAGAGAGCAGGGGCCGTTCTGAGCTCCTGGGGCATTTTCTCTTGGGTGGTCCTGCAATTTCCAGCTTGAATCAGCCTTCCCTCCCCTGGGCCTTGTCTCCCCCACTGGACCCGCTCTGTGTGTGGCTCCGCTGAGTCAATGCTCAGCCACACGACAAAGGAGTGAGGGACTCGCTTCTCACCTGCCCCTGCCTGCCGCCTCCCCTTCCCGAGCCTCGTGTCCTCACCCATCTCTCATTGCAGGAGGCCTCACCTCTGCAGACGGGCGGTCATCCTGGCACACTGTGACCATTGTGGAGCCCAGCAGGAAGAACTCCAGGACCGTGAAGCAGAGCAGGGCCAGCTCCAGCCTCTGGATGTGCACCTGGAGCGTGTGGGGGAGAGGGAGACAGGGCGAGGCCTCGCTGGGTATCTACACCCCTCAGGTGGGCACAGCAGGGGGGCAGTGGGGGCTTCAGCTGCTGGTGTGCCCTGTGGAGGGCAGGGTGGGACTTTGTGGGGCTGGGACTGGGCCCTTCTCAGTTGCTGCTCTACACCCCCCGCCTGGCACCCCTGGGTCCTCAGTGAGTATCTGCCTAACGTTGGAGGGCTGGAGAATCTTGTGGGTCTCTGGTGGAACTGCAGGTGGCCTTAAGTGTCGTCTCAGCCAGCCCCACTTGGATGGGGACACTGAGGCTCAGAGAAGGAGCATCTTTTATAGCTGGGGAGGAGCTAGGCTTAGGGCCATCATGCAGTGGGGACATCTCACATGGCATGGGCATTTGTAAGGGAGCATGTGTGCGTGCGTGCGTGCATGTGTGTGTGTGAGTAGGCCTGCCTGTGTGCCCACACGTGTGTGTGCATGGTGGAGGCCGATAAGGAAGAGCCAACCACCACGGTCAGGAACCTGGCCCAGAGGCCTGCGGCCACCATGCAGAGTGTCCGGCCCACCTTCTGCTCCAGGGGTGCTGGGTTGCGCTGAAAAGGCACTGGGCTCAGAGTTGTAGGCCCAGCTTTGAGTCTTCACTGCACCCTTGACTTGCTGTGTGGTCTTGGTCTACTAATGTAGCCTCTCTGGACCTCAGTGTTCACTCCCTTAAAATGGGGGTAACAAAGTAGACTCGGCCCAGTCTGTAAGGCTGCTGTGAGGCTCACCCATAATGGGGTCACTGGGGCTACGATATTTAAAGAGCCTTGAACAGGGAGTTGGCAGTTCTAGATTGTGGTCCTGAATTTGCTGCCAACTTGCTGCTCAACCTCAAACAGGCCCTTCTTCTTCTCTGATCCTCAGTTTCCCTATCTATAAAAGTGGGACTGGACCCAATGACTCGAGGCCTCACCCAGCTCCCTAACGCTGACCAGTGAGAAGCCAGCATCCCCCTCTGCGCCGTGCCTCAGGAGGGACGGGGTGGGAACAGATTGCCTGGGGGCCCCAGCACCTATGCCTCGGCTCCAAAAGGTTTCCTGAGAGCCAGAAACCTCCTCTTGGCCAAGCCCAAGGCCACACCTTCCTGGGAGTGAGAGGACCCTCAGGGCCAGGGTACTCATTGTGCTGTTGGGGTATGGTGTCCAGATCGGGAACTCAAAGGGACTCTCCAGAAAGAGATCTTTGGCAATGACAAAGAGGCCAGCTAGCACGCAGAAGAAGCTGATGGCATGTGCTATCAGGCAAAGCGTCTTCTACAAGGAAAAGTAACAGTCATGATCGTTGTCCAAAAGTTAGAGACCCAGACCTGGGTCCTGTGTCTAGGCCTGCCAGGTGCTTGCTCTGTGACCTCAGGGAAGACTCTGCCTGTCTCTGGGCCTGAGGCTCCTCATTCGAACATGACTTTCTGAGCTAGCTGACCACCGGGTTTGGGGGGGGCGGCAAGCAGCTTTCACCTTCTATGGGACAGGATTGGGGGAACCCAAGGGCTGCCTCCCGATCCACAGACTTTGTACTAAAGAAGGATGCTCTCACCACTGTCTCCCTCTCAAAGCCTGTCTTAATCATCCTGGCATCAAATATGTTGCCTGGTCAGGGACTGGACCCCCAAATGGACCCTCACCCATCCCATTCCCTACAGGAAAGAGCAGGAGGAGTCCTGAAGGTCCCCCATCCTCACACACCTCACCCCCTCCTCCTCCACCCACCGTGGCCTCCATTCATCACCAGCTTGGGTTAAGCATTTTTCCAAGAGCCTCTTACCAAGAGTGAACCCTTATAAATGGGGAAAGAGTCTGAACACATGGAACCTCCAACTTATTTCACCAGAGCAGACCTCTCTGCAGTAGGGACTCCCTATGCTTGGGTGTAGAAAGGGAGAAGCTTCTGGTTCTGAAAGGGGCCCAGTCCGGGAGGAATGGGCAGGTCTTTGCCATGCATCTCCTGCCCCTGCTGGGCAAATGGCACAATGCCGTCCTGTTCTCTATGCCTCCTGAGAAGGCAGGGGACAGTCACAGCCCCGCCCAGTCTGAGGGGCACAAATGTGGACCTGGGCAGGCCTTCTGGGGCAGAGGGCGGGCTGAGGCCATGAATTAGGAGGGGTAGGGATGGTCCTTCCATCACCAACGTCCGTCTGGCCAGTCTCGTGTCAGTGTCTACTCTGGGCCTACCCAGGCCACTCCGGGTCACTCCAGCCCACCTGAGCCAGAGAGATGCTCAGATACCGGGTGGCCACACAGCTTAGTGTATGGGAGAGAGTAAAGGAGACAGGTAAGCTGTTGGGGACAAGCTTGGAGGATGCAGAGGCCAGCCATGGCGGGTCAGGAAAGACTGCCAGGAGAACAGGGCGTGTATGCCGAGTTTTGAAGAACGATCAGGAGTGAATCAAGTGCAAGGTGCTTGGGCCGGGGAGAACACAGTGCAGGGTCGTGTCCCTCAGAGACAAGAAGCACATGGAAACCCAGCTGCGGGCCCGGGCCTGCGGGCCAAGCTTACCTGCTGATGCTGGACATGAGGACAGAACTGGGGCGCAGGAAGGGCAGGGGGTGAGGGGCAGACCTTGAGGACCTGGGGACCCTTCTGCTTGGATGCCCTCTGCTGTCCAGAAGACTCATGCCTGCTCCCAGCCAATCCTGGAGAACTGCCTCCCGAATCTCCACCACACGCACACAGATGCCCTTCATAAAGCTAACCCGGGCCTGGAGTGACCTCAGTGCTCCAACTTACCAGATAAGTCTTCGAAAGCAGCTCTGTCATGATCACCAAGATCCCTGAAATGAGGAACTGCAGGCCAGATTTGAAACAGTCGTAAGAGAGGTCGGGGTTCCTTGAAACCTACAAGTTTGCTTTCTTCTGGCTACTCTTAAGAAAACCAAAACCCCGGTGGCTGACTGGTGGTGGAGAACCACTCCTCCAACAAAGGAGCTCCCCCTGCCCACCACATGGCCTATCCTGGGTCTGCTCTGGCCATGCTGGTCTTCCCTGTGTGCACAAACCCCCACACTTGGGACTCAGCTGAGCCCTGCGCTCAGATGCCCTCCCGGCCCCTCCCTCATCTCCCCATTTTGCTGGCCCAAACCATCCTTCTGGGATCAGCTGCACTATCTTCTCCGCTCTGACCCTTTCTCCATTCCCGAATCCTGCAGTTTGGAGGATATTAGCTCTTCATTCTGAGGTCCCTGGTGTATTTCTGCAATGATTCCTTCGGCCATTAGCTGAGTGGCTGCATGTGCCAGTCCCGGGGACCACAGGATGACTAGACACTGCATGTGGAGACAGTCCCATCACTGTGCACTCAAAGCTTGGGGCCGGGGACAGTGGACTGAAGTGGCAGCGGGGAGGTCAGGACACCTGCCTGAGAGGGCACCGTGGGAACTGGGGCTCAGTGTGTATGCAGGACTCCGGCGATGGGGGGGGACCCAGGGTTGGGGAGGATGCCTTGGGGAGCCTTCGGGAAACAGTGCGTGCTCTGGTCTCTCCTCGTGGCTGATGGCCTTGAGAGGACGGGAGCCAGGCCTCACATGCTTGTGTTCCTACAGACCCAGCCTGAGGGAGCCTTAGGCTCCAGGGACAGGTTACTGGATCGGCAGGCAGCCTGGAAGCCTGCCCAGAAGCCTGAGGACAATGGAGCCGCCCCCAGCTCATGCTTGCCTTCCGCCTGCTGGATGCACCTGCTGGATTAGAGGAGTGTGCAGAGAGGCCGGGAGTGCCCCCAGGGATGCAGGCCCGAAGGAGCCTCGTGGGAAGCACCGAGGACACAGAGCAGAGGCAGGGGGACTGGGGAAAGGGGCTTCCCTCCTAGTAGCTCATTCTGACCCACCTGCATCTGGCCCCAAATGCCAGGGTCCCCCAAGCCTGCCTGCTGACCCCCACATCTGGCCCATGTTTTGGCACCTACTCACCGAGGCAGCCCCCCAGAATGGATACCAAGACTTCAGCACCACCAGGTGAAGACTCTTGACCGTAGAGACCAGGCAACTCCCAAAGAGCAAGTACAGTAGAGCAATGACAACATGGAAGGCCTAGGGGCCGGGAGGGAACAGGGAGCCACCGTTGAGGGCTGGGCGTTGGTGCCCTGCACCAACTGGCTGAGCCGGGTCCACCTGGCCCCTTCCAAGGCATCCTGGTGGGTCTGCGAGGAAGGACTGGCTCCTTGGAAAGGTGATGGGAATGGAGTAATTGTCCCTCCCCCTGTGGTGGGGCCGGGACCCCCTCGGGTAAGGTGGGGGGGAAGGGGAGGGAAGGGGAGAGACTTCTGTTGAGGACTTCCTATGAGTGACACCGAACCAGTGCTGGTGCAGGTGTAGACAGCCTCTCCCACCCCTCCCGGCTTTTTCAATTCTAGCAGGAGTGTTAAGCAGGGCGACTGGAGGCTTTCTCATCTGCCTCCCCGCTCAGGGCTCCCCAGCCCTCCAGGTCCCTGCCTACCCCCACCAGGGTTCTGGGAAATGGGCCACTCACGCCCAGCTCCTTGAGAAGGGTGCGTCTCTTCCTGGGCTGCTCCTGGTGCCAGGCCGGAGGCAGGAAGCCGGGCAGGCTCAGCTGTGGGGGCAGGCTTATCTGGCCAGGCTGGGTGGGGCCGTGGGTCTGCCATGGCGGGAGCTCCCTCACTTCTGGTCTGGGAATCACTCCGGCTGCTCCATAGGCTTCTGCTGTCAGGACCCAGGCCAAGGACCTTGGCTGCAGGTGAAGCAGAGAGGCTGGGTCAGAACCCATCCCGTTTCTGGGGCTCATGCCTGGGTGAGACTCAGTGACTGTCGCCTCTGCTCTCTGAGCCAGGGCCTTCCGGAACAGGCTGCCCTGTCCAGTAACCCCTGAACTTGATTTGAACTAGAATCACCTGGCTCCTGGGCATGGGGAGAATCAGCCACTCGAGGCCTCTGTGGCATTGCAGGGACCTCGTTCCGTCTGGGATAGAAAAAAGGGTCAGACAAACTTCCCAGCCATTGCGAGACAGAACACACCCAAACCGCCCATGATGGTGCCTCCGGGTTTGGGCTGATGGGGAAGGGGAAGGAGGGAAACTTCTGTGGAGGACCTGCTATGAGCCACCACTGAGCCAGGAAATCCATATTTACCAATGAGTCAACATTTACACACATTCTCTCTGTTCATGGCAGTGGGATAAGCATCTATGTGCATTATCTGATGTTATACTCCTCCCAAACCTCTGAGGTAAATACTGTGCTTGCTTCCATTTTGCAGATGAGGCCCAGAGAGGTTAAGCCACTTGCCCAAGGTCACACAGCCAGGAAATGACTGGGCTGGGACTCAAGCCTGGCAGACCGGCTCCAGAGTGTATGGGCTTACGCCCCCCAGGCACTGCTGCCTCAGTGAATGAAAGGAGATGTTCTGGATGTTTTAACTGGCATGAGAAAGAGGCTGAGAGAAAACTTTGCAGGGGACTGAAAGCCCCACTTGCTGAGGGGCGTGGTCACTACATCATACATTGAGCTGGGGCACATAGGGCTTGGGGGCTGTCTGGTGACTTAGTGAGTAAAGCTGATCTTTCCCAGGAGAACTGAGGTGGAATGGGGTTGGGAGGGAAGGGGAGCCAGTTTATGGAAATCGAGGTAGGAGACAGTTCTCCATGGGGATGGGGTTAACGAGCAAAGTGAGTGGGCTGTTCTTACTCTTTCTGGTAAAAAGAAAGGGGGGGCACATTCCCTTCAATTTTAACTCCAATTCAGGAGGTCTTGTTTGAACACCCCCATTTTGCAGTTTCCTGCATCGTGGTGTTAACAGTAGCAGGGGGAAAGAGCTTCTGGAGCCTGGGAGGGACGGGCGGCCTGGATAGTTAAATCCCAGACAGGGAGGAAAGGAAGGGACGGGGTCTAAGAGCCAAAGGGCCAGACAGGGGGCCTCACAGCTGGTAAGCATTGGCTCTGCGCTAGGCTGACCTCCCTCAATCCCCGGGAAGTTGGCTCCATTCTGTAGAAGAGAATGTGGAGGTTCAGGGAGGTCCAGGGCCTGGACCAAAGTCATACAGCTGGAAAGAGCCTGGGATTTGGGACTGTGTGAGGTCTGACAGGCTGCGGGGCCCTCTGATAAATGTCCCCACTGGCCTGTGGTGACAGTCCCAATTTAGTGGGAGGGAGAGGGGCTCCAGCAGCTGAGCCCAGAGACACACTGATGCATGACTCTCTTTTCTGTGACCTGGCCCGGCTATGCTTGGAAGTCTGTCCTGTTAATTCCCAGCATTTCAGGGCCCCTCTGACATAGTCGGCTGGACTGATGGATGCAGTTGGAGGCAGAGGCCTAACCAAGTGGCCATTGGCTGCAACTAAACTTCTCTGGTACATCTGGGAGGACAGAGCATGGACCTGAGCCTGGACACCCCTGGGAAACACAAAAAAGGGGAAGACTTGTTAGCAGAGGGGTCTTGGATGGAATAGGTTGTCCAGGGAGACAGTGAGCAGTCGGTCACTGGAGGTGTGCCTCGTGCCTGGGCTTTCACTTTCCAGAATGTGACAGCCGGAAGCATTTAAATATCCAGTTGGGAGCTATATTCAAGAATGCAGAGTAACCTTTCTCAAAGTGTGTTCCATGGAACACTGGTCCCAACAGATCAGCAGCAGAAGGGTTCCATGGTCAAATAAGAATGGGAAACTCTGGATATCAACTCCCCCCCGCCCCCCGCTTTAGCATAGTAAGGGTCCTGAGAATTCCTGCAGAGGAGTACTCTATTTTAATATTAAGGGCATTTCCCAAACTTAATTGGCTGTGGAAGTTTTTTCTCAAAGTCTGTTGATTCTACAGTGGTTCTGTGGGGAACACTTTTGGGCAAAGTGGCCTTAAACTAACAAACTTCTGGTTCTAGGGGTTTTTTGGCCTTCTTTGCCCTCCCACTGGTTTTCTTTTGTGCCTACGGTGGTGAGGGTGGGGATTGGACTGTGATCTCCAGGGGCCACGTCTCTCACGGGACAGGGAGCTGCTGCAGAGCCATCCTGCCACCAGGAGGGAGGGGTGCTGAGGGCAGGACTTGAAGAACTAGAGGGACAGCCTGTCTGCCGTGAGGTTCCCACCTTCCGAGGAGGGCGGGGACTCCCAGTCCTTAGAAGACTCACGCCCGGTTGCCCCCGCGCTCTGCCCTCTGTTCCCCCAGAACCCCGTGCAGGGTTGCCTGGGGTGGAGGTGGGCTGACCCTCCCCTCTTAGCCTTGGCCCGTCCCCCATCCCTCAGCCAGCCTGGCATCCCCAGGGGAACCAGCCAGGGCCCAGATTCCCTTTGGTCCTTCAGCTCCTGGAAGGCAGGGCCGACAGGGACTGAGTGGGGGAGCCTCCTCCAGCCCCCAGCGGAGTGGATCACATCATGAGCGCCGGACATGGGCAAGGCTGGCTCAGATCCTGGCTGTGCTCCCGGGAAACTGGACCTTGGGCAGGTTGATGACATCTCACTATCTCCTTGTCACTTGGGGGGTGGGGAGCTAGTGCCTCTCCCAGGCACAGGGGAGGGGGTGGGGTGTCATAAGGATTAAATGGGATAATGTCTGCAATGTGCAGGGCCTGGCAGATAGCAAATGCTCAGCAAACATCAGCCTGCCGCATGCCTGGAATCCCACCACCCAGGCTCCACTTGGTCTTCATCCATTCCTCTATTAAGGCTTGACTCATCCTGGGCGCCCAGGTGGCTCAGTCGGTTAAGCATCTGCCTTCAGCTCAGGTCATGATCTCAGAGTCTTGGGATCGAGTCCCACATCGGGCTCCCCGCTCAGCGGGGAGTCTGCTTCTCTACCCCTCCCCTGGCTCATGCTCTCTCCCTCTTGCTCACTCTCTCTCTAATAAATAAATACAATCTTTAAAAAAAAAAAAAAAGGACTTGACCCATGCTGTCCTTATTGCCCTCAGGGGTGATCGTGGGGGGAAGGGATGTGAGTTTGGAGCTCCTGGGGAATGGGGGAAGGTGTGGCAAGGAAAGGAGAGGGTGGGTGTACTGAGTGTACTGGGTGGTCTGAGATTCATCTGTGGAGTCTGAGCTGAACACCACAGGGACCCAAGCAATAGCGAGTGAGATCTGACAATGGGAGGTTTGTGGTCGAGCAGACAAAACCTCAGGCCCTGATCAGTCTGTGCTGGGGAGGCCTAGAGGACAGGGTAGCTTCTGAGGGTGTGTGTGTGTGTGTGTGTGTGTACATGTGTATATGTGTGTACCTATGTGTATGCGTGTGCGTGCGCCGGTGTGCACGTGTGTGTGTACATGTGTATATGTGCGTACCTATGTGTATACGTGTGCGTGCGCCGGCGTGCACGTGTGTGTACATGTGTATATGTGTGTACCTATGTGTATGTGTGTGCATGCACCGGTGTGCACGTGTGTGTATATGTTTGAACTCACATGTGCGTGTGCATGTGTGTCAAGCAGAGACAGGCAGGAATTGAGAGATACTGAGTCACACCATGTGACAATGGGCAGGTGGCGTCTGGGGGGCCATCCCTAGAGGATGTGGTTTTAGTGGCTGCCAGTTAAAAAACAGGGGAAGGTCCCCTGCAAGGAGCCCAAGGGCCAGCAGGACACGGAGGCCTTGCTCTGGGGTGGAGTCAGGAGGCCTGGACTCTAGTACTGGCCTTGCATGGTCCTGGACAAGTCCTTTTCCCTCTTTGGGGCTCTGCTTCCTCCTAAGAGTTTGTGTGCGTGTGTGTGTGTGTGTGAGTTTCTGGGATTGGAATGGAAATCGCTGTGACGCCTCCCAGCAGGCAGCAGGATGGGCTCTAGGTAGTGAGTTCCTCCCTGGGGTAGATGCTCTTGGTGCCCCCCACTTCCCATTTATTGGGGTGGGGTGGGGCACCCTTTACCAGCTGCTGTAATGCTTGGGGCTAAGGCCTATAACTGCTCCCTCCTGGGGGTTTAGTTACAGCCCCTCCCCGCCCCTGCCTGCAGCCAGTGGGGCATGAAGGGACAGTCCCCTGGCTTCAAGGTGGGACCAAGCATGTGCTCCTGAGCACTGGCTGACAGTGGGATCAGGCTGAAGCTCGCAGTCAGCCGAAACCCTCTCTGTCCTTGGCTTGCTTCACCTGCCCTGACCTGCCCTGCTTTTCGCTCTTTTTCTCTCGAGGGCACTCCCTCATACACCCGTTGCCCAAGATCCTCATCTCAGGCTCTGCTATAATAGAATCCGACCAAAGACACCCCCCTCCTTGTTCCTGCTGTGGGGGACCACTCACCTGGCCCTGGGACCTCCACTCAGAGCTTCTGGCCATGCTCTGTCCCCCGGATCCACCTCAGCCCCACAGACCTGGCGCCAGAAGATCAGGATATCCTTTAACATTAGACTTTGGGTATTTTCCCTCCTTGCCCCGCCCTTTGCTTCATGCCCAGCAGTGTGAGCGGCCAGCATCTTCCCCACCCCCCAAACCCAGGCGGGTAAAAATCTTTGCACCCTCTTTACAGCTGCAAATTTCCTTTGGCAAACCGCACCTGTTGACAATTCCATCTGTTTACAGTGCGGGACAGATGGTGTGAAGATGATTGACTGTAAATCTTTCATAGAGTCCCAGGTTGAGCCTTTTAAAATATCTTTCTAATTTTGGATCTTTCACACATTTCCAAAAGTAAAGAGAATGGTCCATCGCCCGGGCTGCAGGGGTCAGGGGCTCACAGGGGACCTTGCGTGTCAGCTCCCAACCCTCCCCCATCGGGGAACAATACTCGGGCATCCCACGGTTTGTAAACATCGTGGTATTTATCTCTAAAAGATAAGGACTCTTTAAAAAGACTATGATCAGGGGCGCCTGGGTGGCTCAGTGGGTTAGGCATCTGCCTTTGGCTCAGGTCATGATCCCAGGGTCCTGGGACCGAGCCCCACGTTGGGCTCCCTGCTCAGCGGGAAGCCTGCTTCTCCCTCTCCCTCTACCTGCTTGTGTTCCTCTCTCCCTGTGTCTCTCTCTGTCAAATAAATAAAATCTTTAAAAAAAAGATTATGATCACATGTCATAACTAAACAAAGCGCGTTGGAGTTTTGGTGCCTGGGGGGGGGGCGGCGCACTGATGCCCAGTGCAGTGCGCTGTGCGTCTATATAACCACGCTCCTCCGTGGCACAGAAATATCTCTTGCCCAACCTCTGCTACCTACTAGACTTCAAATATCTGGTCAGTGTTCAGGTTTCTCCGATGGTCTCAGGAGCATCTTATTATGGTTGATTTGTGTGACTCAGGATCCAGGCCCACAAACTGTATCAGCCAATCGGGCGGGGCCCGGGCACCCTGTCCCCATTCTGCCCCTGAGCAGGGCGCTGCACTCTTGGGGTGTATAGATCCTGAGGAGGAGGCTCTGGAGGCTCCCTCCCTGGGCTCCTTTCCCATCTGGCTTCTCCTTCCACCTCGCTATGCCGAGGGTGGGCTGGGATGCAGACAGAGCCCAGCGGCCGCTCCTGTTGGCCATCCTGCCGATGTCAGCTTGCTGAGCACAGCAGAGCACTTCGGAGCTGATGTTGGGTCCGGGCTGCCTGAGTTCAAACCTTGATTCTCCCACTTTGTAGTTGTGAGATCTAGGGTGCATTATTTGACCTCTCGGCCTCGGTTTCCCCCTCTGCAAAGTGGGGATAACAATACATCTGGGGGGAGTTGGTAAAGGGTTCCATGAGTTAGAATATTAAAATGCTTCCAGTGGTGCCTGGCCTGTGTCAGGTGCCGTGTGTAAGCATCATCGTCACCATGCACTCATGGGATTCCCTCACACCCCGCAGTCATGCCTGCCCCAGGTCACGCACACAGCCACGTGGAGAGCAACCTGTCCTATACGCTCACTTAGCTGTCACGCCCACTGCAAGGTCACTCACCTTCTCTCAGGCCTGCTGGGCTGGGCAGCCCTTCCATGAGCGGTAAAGCCGGGCCGTCAGCAGTTCTGGAAGGCCCGCTTCTCCTGGTGGCACACCCACCCACCCACCGCAGTCTCCAGGCTGGCTTGTGCCCAGTGACCTCCCGCGGTGTGTGCACCTGTCAGCAGGTGCTTTGCCCTATTCATCACCCACCCCTTTAGTTCCTTAATTGTGGGATGAACATTTTTCTAGAAGCTGTGGTTTTCCACGGGGTTAGAGGCTTCTGCTCCACCACTCAGTCCCATACAACATACAACACACACACACATGCACACGCACTCACGCATGCACGTGTGTGCACACCACCATGCACCCTTGTTCATTAATGGACTCCCTTATTCACAGAAGCTTTCCTGAGCACTTAGGATGGGCCAGGCACAACGCTATGTGCGGAGGTCCAGGGCTGGAGAGGAGGGACTGCCCAGCCGTTGAGGAGCTCAGATGCTGTGACTGGCAGAAGAATGGTCCCCAGCGATGTGCACTGTTCTAGTCCTGGAACCTGTGACTTGTAACCTTCCACAGTCAAAGCACTGGGTAGGTGCGATTCCGTGAAGGATCCCGAGAGGGGGATATTATCCTGGCCTACCCGGTATAATCACAGGGTCCCTCCCCAAGGGGGGCAGGGGGAGCAGAGTCAGTGAGAGTGACCGGAAGGGGCGGGGCTGCTGGCTTGGAGGAGGGAGGAGAGGGTCACATGCCAATGCATGCTGCAGTCCCTGCAGGCGGGAAAAGCAAGGAAACAGCTTCTCCCCCGGAGCTTCCACCAGGAACACGGCCCTGCCAATACCTTGATTTTAGGACTTCTGACCTCCAGAACTGTAAAGTGATAAACGTGTTGTTGAAAACACTAAGTTTGTAGTCATTTGTTACCACAGCAACAGGAAAGTGAGAGTTCAGTGGGGAAGATGGTCAGGGAAGCAAGCAACTGTGTGGCGGAGAAGAGACATGACCCTGGATAGGGGGATGTGGGACACAGCCCAGCAGAGGCCACCTCACCAGACAAGGTAGAGAAGGGTGAGGATAGGGAAGGCTTCCTGGAGGAAGCAGCATCTACACTGAGGTCTGAAGGTGGCTGGGAGTTCAGTGGGACAGACAGGAGAATGGGGGGCAGCCAGGGGACTGCCCTCCAGGGAGGAGTCCCCAGGCTCAGGACAGCCACGGTTCAAGTGCAGGAGGAGGGTGGGAGGAGACAAGAGAGGTGAGCAGGCTCTGTCTCCGGGGCTTTGTCAACTTTGCGGGACCACTGGACTTTAGCCTCAGGGCAAAGGAGAGCCTCGAGTGGCAGAGCAGTGACACGATGACTTCCATGCCTGCAATAATTCCCTCTGGCTGTTGTCTAGCCTAGAGATGGGCCGGGCCAGCTGACAGATGAGGACACAGGCTAAGTCAGCAGGCTGATGTCACGACACAGGTGAGAGATGACAGCGGTCCAAAAGTGCTGGAGGAGGTTGGAGAGAGTGGATTGAGTTGAGAAGAGCAAGGAGAACCGGTGGGGGTGATTATATGTGAGGCTGAGGGTGGGGGACCGAGAGTGGCCCGCAGCTTCTGCCTGGGCCCTAACGGACACAGGGAACATAGGAGGGAAAATGGCTTGTGCTGGAGCAGAAGATGTAGATTCCTTTTTAGTGGGACATGAGAACAGATGCTGAAGGTGGCTCACAGGAGACCTCGGGCGGGGGGGAGGCAGATTTGGGAGCAGTCAGGGTGGTGACAGATGGCCAGTGTAAGCTCCACGAGAGCAGGGACTTTGGCTCACGGCCAGCGTCCCCAGAGCCTGGACACCCAGCGGACACTCCATAAGCACCCGCTGAAGAGAGTGGAGTGCACAGACAAGTCCAGGGTAGGTGAACTTGAGGGATTGATGGAGCTGTTATTATTCATACAAGGCTTTTTAAAAGCGCATTAATCTTGGTGACGATGAGGTCAAGGGCAGCAGCCTTGGAGAGAGAGATTTTGGCAGAGTGAGCTGGAGGGGAGGAAGCAAACTCCATCAAGAAGAGAAAAGTAAGCCCCGGTGGAAGGGCTTTCCGGGGTCAAGACAGACCTTTTAAGGTGGGAGGGACCGGAACACGCTGCATTTTCACACTCACAAAATTTAATTGGGCAAAACTCTCGGTCGGCTCTGAGTCCTCCAGTCTCATCTATTGCTTTTGAGAGTCAAAGCTGGTTGTAATCCCACTCCAACTCTGCACCCGCACAGCCTGGGAACAAGAGCTTCCTTAAAGGGGGCAGATGGCTGAACGGCACTAGCCAACCACCTGCCCTTGGGAAGACCTCACAGAGAGGGCAACATTAAAATAGGGTTTTGAAGGAGGCGCAGGAGTTTGTTAGATGAAGGAGTGGGGGTGCTGAGAAATGCAGCCCTATCCCAGTCTTTGGGATGAAGAAGCAGGAGGAAGGAAGGGAAGGGGTTGGTGGAAAGCACTTGGTTTTGGACCTGGGGAGCCGTGTGGTGAGACAGGGACTCTGACGTTGGCTGGAGCTGAGTTCAAATCCCAGCCTCTTATTAGCTTGGTGGCCTTGGGAACTTGATTTGACTTCTTCAAGCTCCCGTGTCCTCAGTGGTAGAATGGGGTTATGGATGCCTGCTTGTTTGGGCTCAGGTGGGGAGAGATCAAGTGCCAGGATCACACCACACAGACCCCAGCTCCCAGAGATGCCCCCTTTCAGTGACAACGGGACCCAGGTCTTCTGATAAATACAGGACAAGCCTTCGAAATCCCCAAGGTTAAAAAGAAAAAGTCATTGCAATGAGACCAGCTCAAACTGTAAGCCACACTGTTTATTTCCCTCTGTGGTGTGGAGGAGACCACCATCCACTGGGACCTCTGACATTGGGTAGAGGTGTCTCCTTTGCCCCAGACACAGCCTGCAGGGGCAGCTCTGCTCCCCAGGCTGGGGGGGAGGGTGGGGAGGGGGCCGCCATGGCTGTGCACCTGTGGATGCTGACTGGGGTGCCCCGGGCTGGCTTCAGCAGTCCCCTGAAGCCTCCCCAACCCTGGGAGGTGGGCAGGGCTGGAGCCAATACCGACTCCATTTTACAGATAAGGAAAATGAGCTTTTCCAGGGGCATGGGGGGATATCGCCTGACTTAGAACAGGACTTCGGGGAGTCCTGGGGAGCTGGGCCTTAAATGCCATCTAGTTAATGCTTGAGTTTCCAGGAAAACTGAGGCCCATGGCACGCAGCAGATGACAAAGCACAGAGCTAGTCCTGGGGCCTGGAGACCCGAGGTCAGGCCACGGCCAGCTGTGTGGCCTCAGCACTTGGACTCAGTACTCTTTTCTGGAGAATTCTGGGCTTCTGAGATGAAAGATCTTCCCAAGGCCTGAGGGCAGACATTGAACCCGTCTGCCAACGAGGCCAGAGTTGCCTCCCCATGA